CGGCGCCGGCGATCCCCGCCCAGGGGAGATCGGGCCCTGGGGCGAAGGCAAGGGACTCTGTGTGACCTTGTGGTTGATAGTGGCGCCACCGCGCAGTTCTTGTTCTGAAAAACTAGTTGCGTCTGTGGTTTTATTGTCACTGCAACCCTTGATTTACGCTGTGTTTTGAAGCGTGTGGGTGTGTAGGAGTCGCAGCTGCTGTGGGGACAGGTGCCCAATTACTAATCGTGAGGTTTAAGTCATTGCGTTACATGCAAGGATAAGCTTGTGGCAGTGGCAAAGACTTCGAGATGGAAAGGCTGATTTTTCTGGCCTCCTCGTTGAAGAGGTTTGGTAAGTCGTGTCGAAGGCATCAGGAAGGCATGTGAAGAAGCAGGAGGAGATGTTGCTGATGCTGGATGTGAACCAGATCAGTATCACTTAATGCTGGCTGTGTTTCCACTTGGACGTAGGGCCGGGGAAGTTCCCACTGTGAAGGCAGGCCACTGAGTTGCACTGGCAGAGCCTGTTGTAGGACCAGGCTGTAGCCTGTTTCTCCTTTTCAGTTGGAGTTTCATTTACCTTGTCCTTTAATACCAGTTTACTTGAACATGCAGGTTAGGTAAGAATTATAGGAAGAATTACAGTGTACTACCTTGTAGTCAGGAGTCAAACTTTATTAATTTCAGTATTCATAGTTGTTACTGTTTTAAATATGCTATTGTTTGGTGTAGTATGAATCCTACATTTTCAAAGCATGTATTTGATAAAGAAATTCTTACAATGCTTTCCTCAAGGAAGGCCTACTAAAGTAATACAGATGTGAAGGAATAGATTTATCAGATGCAATCCAGTAAACCTCTTAGCAGAATTAGAAAACATAGCAACTTTAGCATATTATGAATCATAGTCCATCATGAGGCTGTGTAATAGAAACATACAATGGTTTGGGTTGGAAGGGATCTAGTTCCAACCCCAGTGCTGTGGGCGGAGAGACCTTTTACTGTGGTGCCTTTTACTAGACCAAGTTGCTCCAAGCCCCATCTAACCTGACTGTGACCGTGACCACTTAAGGGATGTGGCATCCACAGCTTCTCTGGGCAGTGTGTCCCAGTGCTTCACCACCCTCTGAGGGGTTCATGCACTGAGTTGAACAGTGCAGGTTGAAAGCTGGGTGTATGTAAGCATGGTGGGTAGTTTTTAATTTTAGGGGTGTGGTGAGAGGGAGAGGCAGGATTTGCTTATGGCATTAACTGTATTGCTAATTTTGCTCTGGATGGCAGCTTTTGCAAATGAGCTGTGAGAGTTAATATCCCTCTAAGTGACTGTCTTAGTCTCTTATGTGGCAGGTGGAAGGAAACCACAAGTGTGCAAAGTCTGTGTGTAGACTTGAGTGCTGCCTAGCTGAGAACTGGGGTCTTTTGAGGCTGTAGGTTGGATTGCTAAAGGTGAAGGAAAGTAATTGAACTCAACACCGGGACTTTGTGTTGAGGTTCCAGTTGCTTGTGCTTTATAGTAGCTGTTACACTGAAGTCTACTGGAAGGCTGGAGTGTATACTGTTAGAAAGAACTCTTTTGACTGTCTTTATTTTTGGCCATGCAATTATAATCTTCTCCTTTGTTCTCACTTGACAGGAATAATGTTTCCAACATGTCTGTGCAGTCGCTGCTTTGTGAAAGAATTGCTGTTGCCAAAGACTTGATTAAGAGAGCAGAAGCCCTTTCCAAGTCCCAGAAAAGGAGAATAGAAGGTGGGGCAAAGCTATGTAGCAAACTGAAGGCTGAGCTAAATTTCTTACACAAGGTGGAGGCAGGGAAAGTGGCCATTAAAGAATCCCATCTGCAGAGTACAAACCTTACCCACCTCCAAGCCATTATTCAGTCAGCAGAGAACCTGGAGGATGTTGTCAGTGTCCTGCATGTCTTTGCTTACGAGGACAGGTTTGGAGACAAACAGACACTGGTGGTAGATGTCGTTGCAAACGGAGGTCACACGTGGGTGAAGGCCATCGGTCGTAAAGCTGAGGCCCTGCATAACATCTGGCTGGGAAGAGGCCAGTATGGTGACAAAAGTATCATTGAGCAGGCAGAGGACTTCCTGCAAGCAAGCCATCAGCAGCCGGTGGAGTACAGCAATCCCCACATCATCTTTGCATTCTACAACAGCGTGTCCAGTCCTATGGCAGAGAGGCTCAAGGAGATGGGAATATCTGTGAGAGGAGACGTTGTTGCTGTGAACTCACTGGTAGAACCATCTGCAGAAAACGAGCACTTTAACACCAGTGAATCAGATGAAGAAGGCCCTGAGCTCCTGCAGGTGACCAGAGTAGACCGGGAGAATTTAGTGGCCAGCATTGCTTTCCCTACCCAGATCAAAGTAAGCGTCTGCAACAGAGTTAATTTGGACATCACTACCTTAATAACGTACGTCTCTGCGCTGAGCTATGGTGGCTGCTACTTTGTCTTCAAAGAAAAAGTGCTGACAGAGCAAGCAGCCCAAGAAAGAAGGGAGAGAGTCCTGCCTCAGCTGAAGGAATTCATGGAGGGAAAAGAGCTCTTTGCCTGTGAATCTGCTGTCAGAGATTTTCAGTCCATCTTGGAAACACTGGGAGGACCTGGTGAGAAAGAGCGAGCTGCATTGCTTGTTGAAAGAATTAATGTGGTTCCAGATCAGCCTTCTGACCGTGCCTTAGGACTAGTGGCTAGCTCAAAAATCAACAGCCGCTCTCTAGCCATTTTTGGGACAGGAGATACTTTAAAAGCCATCACCATGACTGCAAATAGTGGGTTTGTGAGGGCAGCAGCAAACCAGGGTGTCAGGTTCAGTGTTTTTGTCCATCAGCCACGAGCACTGACAGAAAGCAAAGAATCTTTTGCCACACCTCTACCAAAGCGCTGCCCATCTGATAATGGAGTATAAGTCATTAAATGAGTTAGTAATGGAAATACTGCAGGTATTGCAGTTGAGGCGTTTGGAGAAACAGAAGAATCATAGCAATACAGTTTTTGGGTGTGTATCGATGATGACAGCAACTAGCAGTGGAAGAGCTCCTTAAGGGACTTGTAATATCTTTATTCCTTCCTTGAGGTTATGTTTTGTCCAGCTGACTGTTAATTTATTCACTAAAATAATAAGAATTCAATGAAAATTGTTAACTGGCTTACAATGTATTAATTGTATACATCCCCATTAAAAAGTTCAGTTAAAGCACAGTTACTGACCTGCTCTTGCTATTTTTGTCCTCTTCACAGAGGTAACATTCATCATCTTAGATGACTTTGGGCTTGACTTACATGGAACTTAAATCTTATTTCCCCAATTCTATTCAACCTTATATTTGGTTGATTCAGAGGGACCTTGTGCAGGGACCTATGCCTTTTTGGGAGTGTGATGTTCCATGAAGATGCAACTAGTAGCCACAAATAGAAACCAGCTTAAGCCTTCCATGTCTTACTGAAAGGAACCTCTACATGTATACCATGGTTAGATTGAAATGGGCAACAGCTTTAAAATTCCTGGAAGAATCAGTTGAAATTGGAGTTTATTTGCAAAAACATGCAAATAAATTTTTATTATGCATACATTATACATAATGCATATTAATATGTTGTGGCTCGTGGGCTAAACTGGACAGCCAGTGGTAGCAGACCAAGGAGGCACATCCACTTCACTTTTCTCTTAGCCTTTATCTGAATGCAGTTTTGCTGGTTGTAAAGCCCAACTCAGAGCTTCAGATAACAGAATCCTAAACTGAGCCAGCACTCAGTTTTTGATATTAGCACGCTCTTTGCTGAGGACTCATGGTAAACTTGAATCTGGCTTTGTTGCATGTGGATTACCTGAAACAAAGCCTCAGTGCCTCAGTGAGGTCCTTCAGTGTTGGAGTGATGGAGGAGATTTGCAGGGTATGTTTTTAAATCCTAGTTTGCACTGTAGTATAGAGAAGCCTTTTTGCTGGTGGTGTAATTGCTCTTTTTATTCAAAGTGTAGAATAAACAACTATTTTTCTGTATTTTTTTTTTCTCTTTTTCTTTGCCCAGCAGAGATTTGCTGTTGTAGCAGTCTTTATTATGGTTTTTTTTGGGTTTTTTTTGGTTTTTTTCTGAATGCCGTAATGACAGCACTTGCTGTTTGATACTAGTTTTCATCAGCTTCCTAGTGGAAAATTTTGAGATGTCACAGTGAAGCTCTGATCCCCAAGCTTTACATTTTTATCAGGTCAGTGAAAGAGATATCCACTGAATATTTTATAGGCTGTTCAACACAATTGCATTATTATGCAGCTTAATAGTTCAGGCAAAGAACTTTCTCTTGAACATGCACTCTAAATTTCTTTCTACAGTACAACGTGTCTGGAGTGCTGCCCTTAGCCATAAGCTCAAACCATATATTTCTGGTCCCCAGCAGTGACTCAAAGATACTGGAATGCCAGCAAGACCACTCTGCATGCCTTGTTCAGCTGAGTAAGGTGAGCTTCCAAGGGGCAGAAGTGTACTTCTTCTTGATGGGATTCTTAGTCTGCTCTTACTATGCCTGTAGAGTAAAATGTTTGTGTGGAACTGGATTTTGGGTTTGCTGCTTCAGCATTCAGTGTAGTTTTTCAGTTCCTCCTTGGTGAGTTCTAACAAAACATCTAGCTCATTCCTACAGTCTAACACAGTGTGATGAAACCATGGCAGGATTCATCCCCCACTGTATCCATAAATTTTCTTGAAAGTTCTTATGAAGGGAAAAGAGGACCAGCACAATGAAACAATAATAAGTTGGCTGTGCTGCAGAAATGCAAGTCTGCCTTAGTAGTTAACAGCGCAAGCTTCACCATGTGGGAGCTTAGGGAGATAGTAATCTATCATGGTATCAGGGATTTACCAGACAACCAGAGATGTCTGTGAAATGTTACAAACAGCTGGAAGAAAAGTACCTTTCATTTCTGCAATGAGAGCTCTTACTCTGGACACCTTCGTGATGTCTTTCCTCTGCAGTAGGTGTGGGAATAGGGCTTGGGGAGGCCAACTGTCTAAAGAAAAAAAGAAAAACGAAAATTGTGTGTTTCAAAATTGTGTTTCTGTTTGGAGTCGTATGTCCTGATAAAGGGCACAGGAAACCTCCCAGTTAATAATTTATGAACAAATAACCTGGGAGAGAGGGGTTCTTTTTGTTTGCAGCTCAGAGCTGTAGAAGTTGAGGTTCCAAAAGACAGCTTACTATTTAATAGATTCACAAAACGTTAAGGGGTTGGAATGGACCAGTCATCTAGATCATCTAGAACCAATCCTGACTGCCATGGGCAGGGACACTTCCCACTAGACCAGGTTGCTCAAGGCCTTATCCAACCTGGCCTTGAACACTGCCAGGGATGGGGCATCCGCAGCTTCCCTGGGCAGTCTGTTCCAGTGTCTCACCATGCTTGCAGTAAAAAAATCCTTCCTAATATTTAACCTAAATTTTACCTCTTTCAATGTGTACCCATAACTCCTTATCCTGTCATTGCAGTTCCTGATAAGGAGTCTCTCTCTTCCCTGTAGGTTCCTTTCAGATACTGGAAGGTTGCCACCAGGTCTCCATGCAACCTTCTCCAGGCTGAACAGCTCCAACCTTCTCAGCCTGTGTTCACAGCGGAGGAGCCCTTACCAGCTTTGTGGCCTCCTTTGGACTTGCTCCAACAGCTCCATGTCCTTCTTACGTTGAAGACACCAGAACTGTGCACAGTGCTTCAGGTGGGATCTCCCATAAGCAGAGAAGAGGGGCAAAATCACCTTGTTTGACCCACGCTCTTTGTGATGCAGCCCAGGATTTGATTTGCTTTCTGGGCTGTGAGCACACACAGCTGGCTCATGTGGAGGTTTTCAGCACCTGCCACCCCCTGTCTTTCTTAGCAGGGCTTTTCTCAATCATGTCTCTGCCCAACCCATTGGTGTGTCTGGGATTGCCATGACCCAGGTATAGAACCTTACACTTTGTTGAACCTCATGAGGTTTGCATTGGCCCCTGGGTGGTATTATCCCTTCCCTCCATGGTGTCTACTGCACCATAGGGCTTGGTATTGTCAGAAAATTTGCTGAAGGTGCACTTGGTCCCCCTGTCCATGTTGTCAGTAAAGATGTTGAAGAGCTCCGGTACCAATCTCTGAGGGACACCACTCATCACAGGTCTCCATGTGTGGCCATTGACCACAGCTGTTGGTGTGTGGCTATGCAGCTTTATCCACAGAGTGGTCCATCCATCAAATCCCTTCTTGTCCAATCTGGAGACAATGATGTTTTGCAGGAATGTGAAAGATTTTGCATTTAATCCAGCTAGACAATGTCAGTTCCTCTGCCTCTGTCCACCAAAACTGTAGCCCTGTCATGGAAGGTCAGCAGATTTGTCAGACATGGTTTTCCCCTTGTAAAACCATTTTGGCTGTTACCAGTCATCTCTTTGTTGGCCAGGTACCTTAGCATAGTTTCCAGTAGAACCTGCTCTGTGACCTTGCCTGGCACAGAGGTGAAACTGACTGGTCAGTCATTCCCCAGGTCTTTTGCTTTCCCCTTTTTAAAAATGGGGGTTACATTTATCTTTTTCCCATCATCAGGGACTTCATCTGACTGCCATGATTTTTAAGAAATGATGGGTAGTGGCTCAGCAACTTTGTCTGCCAGCTCCCTCAGGACCCATGGATGATCCTTATCCTGTCCTGTAGACTTGTACACGCTCTCAAACCTGGTCCTTTCCTACAGGGGGCTCAGGGTCTTCATCCTCCCAGTCCCTGCATCTACCTTTCATGACTTGGGTGGCGTGGCTGGAGCACTTGCCATTGAAGACAGAGGCACGGAAGTTCTTGGGAACCCCAGCCTTCTCTTTGTCCAGGGTAGTCAGGTCTCCCTTTTCCTTCTGGAAAGGGCCCGCATTAGCTCAGTCTTTCTCTTGCTTGCAATGTGTCTATGGAGGCCCTTCCTGTTATCCTTAATATCTCTGTCCAGACACAATTCTAACTAGGCTTTGGCTTCTCTAACCTTGTCCCTAGCTTCTGATACAGTTTTCCCACTTTTTTCAGGCTCTCTGTCCTCGTTTCCACTTTCTGAAATCTTTTTTTGCTTTGAGTTTACACAGCAGCTCCTTATCCATAGAGGCCTCCTGGTGCTTTTTCCCAATCTCCACCTGGTTGAGATACCTTGCTCCCATGCTTGGAGGAGGTGATCCTTGAAATTCAGTCACCATTCTTGAACCCTTCTGCTTTCTGAAGTTCTAGCCAATGAAACTCTACCAAAGAGGTCCTTGGAGAGGCTAAAGTCTGCTCTTCTGAAGTCCAGGGCAGTGAGCTTTCTGTGTGCCCCCCCTTGCTATCCTCTGGATCATAAACACCATCTCCTGCTGACTGCAGCCAAGGCTACCTTGAAGCACTGCATTCCCCACCAGCTCCTTCCTCTTGGTGAGCGCAAGGTCCAGTAATGGCGCTAAAGATACTTTTTTCCTTTGTCAAATGGATGCTATCATCCCCCAGTAAACTAGGTTAGGCAAAGCCAAGTCCTGTGAGTGTGTAACCAAAATCCTGACTCTACACCATTGCTCTAGCCATTTGTTGACCTTCCAGATTTGTCTGCAAATTTCAAGTCCCTCTCCTTTGGCCAGGAGGATTCATGAAGAAGCTACTTGAACTCCAGGGCCCTTTACTATCTTTCCCAGGGCTCCTTAGTCCCTCCTAATGCTTCCCAGAGTGGTGCCATCTCTTTCACTGGCTCCCACATGGAACACTAATAGTGGGTAATTTCTCAGAATAATAGTGGGTCATTTCTCAGAAATGTCCCAGATCCAGGCTCCTGGAAGGTTGCACACCTCCCTTGAGAGTGGGTCAAGCTGACAGCTGAGTACCTCTGTACCTCCTAGAGTGGAATCACCTGCTCCTGCCACCTGCCACTTTTTGTGGTTGAACTAGTTGGTAATTTCTTTATTTGTGGAGCAGGTTGGGCAGCTCCAGTTATCTCCTGCTCTCTGAGGTCCATCTGGGTCGTCAAGTTTCTTTTCCCAGTGGCTTTTGACTGAGTTGAAGGCATACTTACTCCTGTTTTAGTTTGATAGGTGATGACTCACTCCCGAAGTTTTGTGCTCTGCCTCAGCACCTGCCCTTTCAAACAGCCCCTTTCGCTCCCTGGAGCTGTTTAAATTTCCCGTGGATGCTCCTGGCAATGCCTCCTCCTTGCCAGTGATCTTTCACTGATTAATCTGTTTTCCAGTATTACAGGATATAGTCAGAGCTAGGAACATGGTAACAGTGCACTTATGCATGGTAATTTATTATGGCCTTTCAATCCTTGGCATTTAAGTTAATGTACTCAATGACTTTTTACCCTCATGAGGGTTTTGAGTGAGTAAATGGGAGACAGCTGCTTCATTCCACTTCTTGCTGTGATTCTAAAGAAGTGTGTTTCCATAATTTTCTTTGCTGTATTGCATTCAGCAGTCTTGAATATCCTCTTGGGCACCCTCTAAAGAATTTTCTCCAAGCCACAGGTGACAGAGCAGCGGCCCACATTTTAACATGGTAGGTGAGCTAGAGAAAGCAGTAAAAAGCAGGTGACCTCTACATTCCTGGGGTCAGAAGTGCGTGAGTTCTGTTTGCCGTATTCCTTCAAAGCTGCTGCTACAGATCTAGAAGACTTGTTTTGCAGTGACATTTTGTGTGACCAGTAACTGCAACTTTGTTTAAAAACCTCTGTATCTGGAGCCATCATGTGGTGATTTTTTTCATTACCAGGCCTTTTTTGACCAACGTGGTATTTGTTAATGAATCAATTTTCTTTCTTTTACTAATTTGTGCCAATCATATAGGCAATATTTTAGGAATATTAAATGCTTTCTGCACAGCACCGGGCAACTTGATGGTTTTATTGTTGTTTTCTGTCTCCCTGTTGCATCTTGCAATGAAAAACTCAGAATGTGGATGTTTTTGTTTGTTTGGTTTTTTCCACAGTGTTTTTTTGCTTATTGGTCAAACAGAAGGGTATCGTTGACAGACTCTAAAAATTGTTTTATAAGAAGAAAGAATGCTAGCTTGGAATCCAAATGTATTTTGGTTGTAATATTTGGTGGCTTTTATATTGCCTTTGAATATATTTGTGATCTGCTCATATAAGCCAGTGTTCTGGTTTGGTGCTTTTAGATATCTTTTACTTAATGTCACCAATAGGGGATTAGATGTTGAATTTCTCTTATTAATGACTTTGCGAATGAGCCATTAGGAGATGGAAAATTGTATTTGAAATTAGTTTGAATAAATGGAAATCTGAGACTTTTTTTCCTTTCTTCTAACACACAACTGCTTTGTCTACATGTAGCAAGCACTAGAGGATATGGAGATGTCTCAGTTGCTACTATGGATTTTCAGGGATTTTTTTAAAGTTTTCAACATTAAGTTCCTTGGGAAAGATGGAGTCCTAAATTTTTTTAGGGAACCTTTTTCTTCTGACACTTCTAATTTATTTTAGATTATTTCTGTATTGTCTCTAAGGATAGCCAACATATCTGTTCTGTGCAGCACTCAACATGCTCTTTTTGCTCCAACAGTAAGAATATCAGACAAAGAGTGCTGCAATTGATGCCAGGCGTAGGAAGCACTTAGATATTATATGAGAAATATATCAGTAAGTTACATTTTTAGTACATTTACATTTCTATGTATGTTCTTTTCTTGCTGTTCTTCTGGCTGACAAAACTTGTAGATCAATGATTTATTTGCCATTGTACCTGAAAGCCACAAAAACACTCAGAGATAATTTTCGCATGTTTGTAGCCATAGCTGTTTAAAAGTTAATGGGCTAAATAGTGGTTTGTGTTTAAAACTGTTCCTCTTGTCTGAGGATACCTTCAGCAGATTTAAAGCATTCTGCTGAAGTCAGCTAGAGCCTGTCTGAAAATGCTTTCACAACCCTGCTTGTAGCTCCTGCAAACTGAAAGTAGGCTTGGTCATAATAGGAATAAAATAGGAAAACACAAGCATCAGTTGTATGAAATATGTTTGAGAGGCGACATTAAATAAAACAAAAACAAACCCACCCTAAAATATTTTTTAATCTTTTTTGTTGAAGTGGACCAAAGAAAGGATTTACAATAGCATGTACTTGCAATGACATTCTTTATTTCAGGTTATTATGCAAGCAAAACAGCACAGGTCAGCTGTTATCTAATTAATCTGGTAAAGTAATCAAGAGTTAGATGGGGCTCTGGAACTGAAGACTATGGTTACAGTTTTCTTGCAAGATGTAGTTCTGGGAATAGCTCTGCCATCTAGATTGCAACAGGCACCCCACATGTGTTCTTGGTGGTGAAATCACCTCTATGGGTAAGTGGGTGCTGCTTTTTCATCAAATTTTAATGTTGGGATTTACTCTAGAGCAAAAAAAAAGAGAGAGAGTGAATATCAAATTACTACACTGCCCAGAATTGTGACTTTGGAGCTTTGCAACTTGTTCCCTATGAATGTGATGGAAATTAGGATTGTTCCTACATAAACTATTATAAGGAATAAGCAAATAAAACCCCCACCTCACAGCTTCATTATTCCATTCTGTATATTTAAACGATCCTCACTTATAATGTCTCTTAGAGAAGGCGAGTGATCCTCACATAGAATGAAATATGTAATATGAAATAATAAAATAAAAAGACCCCAAATCAAACCTCAAATCAACAAAATAAGAAAAGCCCACAAAATCCCCAAAAGAATTAATATCTGGTAATGAAGATGCGCCCCTTTATTTATTAATGAGACTGAGTACACGATAAATCAGCTCAGTGTGATAATGAGAAATATGAGATACAGGCCACAGAACTTTATACTGTGCAGGTACCAAAATCCTCCTCAGATATTTCTTCTGTAGGGGTTAATTTGGCCCAGCTTTATTGAGATGGTGTTCACCAGAGTGAAATGCCACTCAGATGTACCACAGGCCTTCATAAACTTGACCATAGAAATATGTTTTAATTTTTGGTGTGGTGGGGTTTGTGGGTTTTCCCCCACATTAGAAATGTGCATTATAAGCCATCATTAACTATATCCACAAGAGAAACCTCTTCCAGGTCAGGGGAGGTCTGGCCTCTTTGCTTCACATACAGTTGTAAAATGCACTCATCCATAATAGAATTTGTCTTAAGGAGTGTCATCTTCCTCTCAGTTCCAGCAATTTATGTTTTTAGAATAAGGAGAGGCTAGATATCTGGAATGCCGTATATCCTGCCAAAAATAGACTACAAGGAAAAGCAGTGTTTTAATTCATCCTGCCACCTTAGTGCAGGAGAGTGGAGTAACAAAACTGAGATATCAGTAATGTGGGTAATCAGAGACAAAATGTGTCTTACCAGATATTTCAGTGGATGATTCCTGGGTTGGTTCTTGGCTTGGCTCCACACTGGGCTTAGGGGTGGACTCAGCACTTGACTCTCCACTCAGCTCCCAAAAGGTCTGTTCACCTTCTTGCACACCATTGCTCCCATCTTGCTCTGTGCCATCCTCCTTGTGTGAGTCTCCGCTGTAGTCCGGGGGCAGCTCTGTGCTTGGCTGTACACTGGGATCGCTGCTTTGCTCCACACTGGTTGCCTCAAGCACAGGGGTAACAGGGGTACCTACAAATAAAGGGAAAGGAAGTTACAGGAGGAGGAGCATGGTTTGAAAAGTTATTTCTATCTATTTCTATCTATTCCTATCTATTTGGATATCCAAAAATGTGCGTAGCTCTTTTTGTGGATCAGAGATCCCAAGCAGGAGTTTATGGAGGGGGAGAAAAGTAACTCTAGGAGTAAGTACGATATGAATGTGAATCTTACTTAAATTGACAAGGGTGGATTTGCCAGTAGGTTGTTAACTCACCTTGTGCCTTTAGTTGATCAACCAGAATCAGAATCAACAGTGTTGAAAGGATTGTCATCTTTTTCAGCATGGTCACCTAAATGCCAAGTAAAGAGCAAGCCTTTGGAGCAAAACTTGAAATGTGTGGTGGGCTGAAAGCCCTGGATATTTAAAGGCAAGCCCCTGCATCTGTGAGCTTTGACATCTGCCTGAAAATAACAGGTTACAAAACCAACATCAAATTACATTCTCAAAACGAATGCAGGATCTGTTAGAGACTGTAGTCATGCAATTCCTGCCCTTTGCTTCAGGGTGAGATAACCTTTGCTGCAAGCATTAAAGGACTTTGGGGGCAGAGAGGTGGGACAGCTGTGGCCCAGACTGCAGCAGCACTGATAGTGATGTCACTATATGCCTCTGGCAATGCTGGTTTCTCCAGGCAATTGATCCTGTTGGTTTTGAATGAGGATCTTCAAAAATACTTTGATATGACACTTGACAGATTGAATATTCCTTATGGGTAACTGGTGAAAGGTGAGGCATGACTAAAAAATGTCATCTGGTTTTTGTGTTGTCAGGTAATAATAGCAGTGTGAAAGAACTGCAATGTTTTGGTCAAGCATTTCATTGGGAAGATTTCCTTTGTCGTTGAAAACTTGTGTGTTTGTGTGTGTTGTTCAGCCTATGATATCTCAGTCCCATAAAGATGTACTTGGAAGGTTTGGACAGAACCAGAAAGTCTAAGGAGAACCTGTCTCCTGTGTGTGGTTTGATCAGCAAAGCACAGTTATTGTTCCAAGGGCCATTTCTGATGCAGAGAAGTTTCTCTGACTGCATTCATGCAGTTCAGTTCCCCGTGACCTTCCCCATCCAGGGAAGTTGGTCATGACCAGACACTCAGAGGCTGTGGCAACTGTGACCAGGTAAGTTGTGTTTTGGGGTCTGCTGAAGGAGTAGTCAACCTCAGGGCTGTGAGAGCAACTCTGTGTTGTAGATAGAGAAATGTGGGCCTGGCTGTGTATATTAGACTTGTATGAGTGAGTGGTATCATTGCTGCAACTAGCAATTCTGCAGTAATTAGCAGAATTAGGTTAATGTCAAATCAATATAAAATAATTCAGAATCTGACTCTGTAAGATTTTCCTCTGCCCTGTTTCCCTGATTTCACTTGTTTAATATTACATCAACTTAGTTTTTGAACACAGTGTTTCTTTCAAGTTGCTTCTACCTCTAGGGTTTGCCTGAGGCATTATTCTTCTAATCATGCTGCAACAGAGGGATTTTATTTTTTTTCTTGAAAAGAAAAAGAAATACTGATGCCCATGAACACTTACTGGTGCATGGCTGCTGCAGCAGATTTCTCCTGTGCTACTGGTTTCAACTGAATGCTGTTGCGTAAGATCATCTTTTTTCAAATGTGGAAAAATTTTTCTTCAGTATGGAAGAATTTGTTGCCAGCTCACCTATAAGAATATGATGCACAGGTCAGAAATCTGCAGATAACTATCTGCAATGAGTAAGATTCCTCAGTGTAGACTAAGTCTAGCTTTTCATTCTTGAAAATGTTTCTCTTACACGGTTTTCATGGGGCTGTGGGCCTGCTAGTTTTGAAGGAAGCATAAATAAATATGTTGCAGAATTTGTTACTTCTAATGGGTTACTACTGTACAAGGAAAGAAGAATTGTCATGTTACTCCCTCAGTGGACCTCTAATTTGGTTTTGAAATATTTATCTTATCTTTTAATGATCCTCATTGAGCACAGTTGCTCATCTTGATCTTCCCACGTTCTTCTGTTTGTTTCATTGTTATAGTTTCTAAACATTTGAAGCAGTGAGTTTAGGCATTTTAAGGCAGGGTTTCAGCTAAGATGTTTGTCTGGAGACAAAGTTAAGTTTCACTGGTTTTCCACTGCTCCTAGTCACATTGTTAACTGGAAATCTCAAAAAGTAGTAACAAAGGGATACATTTTGAATGGGCTTTCTTACTGTTTGAGGTTCTGGGGTGTTTTTTTAGAGTTAATACAGAGCATGTCACTATTCAGTATCTTCAGTGATCTGAAGGTAAATACAGTTTACTGAAGGAATCATCAGGTGAGATGAGACTCCTGTTGAATAAGTAGTGGTGGAGACTGATGTGAGTTACAGGTTTATTGCTTTTAGCTACAAATTTTTTAGAATTGTTTTCAATGCACCCCAGCCAACAAGGCAAGTTACATGTACTGCATAAAGGAATAAAAGCCATACTTAAGCAAAGAAAGCTGCACCTGGAAATGTCTTGCTCCAACATCTTTTTGTCCCCAGATTCCCAAATGTGGCCCTCAGGCCAAATATTAACATCCATTATAGAACATAATCAAACTAGAGAGGGTAAAGAAATAAACCATCAATGTTGGAAAAAATCCTCCCTGTGTAGAGACAAATATTTTCAGATATAAAGTCTGTTTATTTTATCAGAAAAAGAGG